CCCCCCACCAACTGATACTCACCTCTCTAGTGCTCCACTGTTGGCTCTTTTTCCTTTGTAGCCAAAATGCCTGATGTTGGCTGGTTTTGGAGCCCAGAGAGAGTGGTGATTACCCCTACTTGTGATAGTGTTTAGATAGAGCTCTTACAACACAGATGTGCCATAGGCCTCCCGCCCAATCAGCTGCGGGTTAGGACATTCCCCACCCTGCAGCTGCACACAAAGGGGTGGGATGCTTGTACTAACCAAATATAGCCATGTGGCCATATAAGATCAGTTACATCACTGCATCCCACACATTTGCTTACATGCAGCTGCAGGTAGGGAATTCCCCGGCCGCAGAAGATTGGGTGGCCTCAGAAGCACCAGAGCTCATCTGAAGTCACCATTAGGTCACCAACAATGAAATGTTACTTTGACAAAAAAAAGAAAGGGTAAACAGTGCTTTGCACTATAACAATGCATGCCACCTCCCCCCGGCAGGACACTAGCGGACACATTAAAATGGATCCCTTTAGCATGCAGCTAGTGTGAACAGGTCCTAAACAAGTAATGTATTTAAGGCAGGTACTTACGTCCTCTTAAATGCGGCACGGATATCGATGTCTCCTGCATTTTTGGCTTCTGCACAGAGAAGAAAGAGGAAGAAAATATTGGCATAAGGAAGGATGTAAAAGTGGAAAAATTATTAATAGGGCATGTATGAATGTTCATCTAACACAGTTAAAGGAAACTTTAGTAAATTCCTATAAATGTGTAAGTGAACCTTGCTAATAAGCAGTCAGACCTCCAAGTATTCTTGAGCTGTTGACTCTTACTCGCACATGATTTCAAGTTTATAGTTATATTGAAAAAAGATACCTGTCCATCGACTTCAACCAATAGACACAAATTAAAGTGTAACTATAGCCATAACTTATTTTGTTTTGGATAGAGGAGAGGAGGGTATAACCCCGGTCATGGTAACTTTTGCTACCTGTGTTGCCTGTACAAACAAAATGAAGCTAAACTCCCCCAGGCCACCTCATCGCCCTTTCAAATTTGCAGGGCTGCCCTCTTTCTCCACTTCTTTTTGAGTTATGCATCGAATCCTTAGTGGCTCATATCAGAAATTCTCCTGATATTTATGGTGTGCGGGTCGGTGGCCTTCCTTTCAAGCTCTCCTTTTTTGCAGATGACATAATACTGACATTGACCAACCCCTTAATCTCACTGCCCAACTTACATAAGGAACTTTCCCTGTACTCATCTCTCTTGAGATATAAACATAACCTTACTAAAACAGAAGTTTTGCCTCTCAACATGGCACCCCAGAAACTTTCTGCCCTTCAATCCTCCTTTGACTATCATTGGAAGCCAGATAAACCTAAATACTTAGGGATATACAGCATTTAACACCCAGGACCTCTTCCTTGTATAGAGCTAACTATCCCCCTCTTTTCCAGGAAACCCGGGCCCAACTTCAGAAGTGAAAGTCATATAACTTGTCTTGGATAGGTAAAATCACCTCTAGTAAAATGATGCTCCTACCCAAATTGGTCTACTTATATGAAACTTTGCCTATCAAAGTACTGATGCCAGATTTGTTGGGGTGTCAGCGATCCTTCATCACTTTTACTTGGAATACCTCCAGGCATAGAGTACACAGGCCCGTTTTGATGACTTCCAGGTCTCAAGGAGGGCTGAGCTTTCTGGATATTTTCAAATATTATTTAGCAGCCCACTTAAGCCATATCCTTAAGCCATGGCATCCTGGTCTGCTCTTCACACCCCCAATCGGTGGACTGAAATTTAAGGCCTATGGCCTTCACCTGTTCACCTTAACTCTCTTTTGTGGTCCCCATCTGTGCGGTTGAGGAGCGACCTTTTGTTATGTCCCATGCTGCATACTGTTGAAATTTGGTTGCACGCTAGACATAAATTCCCATTGACGTCTTTTGACACCTCGAAGTGTTCTTTTCTTTACACTCCAGCAACTATGGATCGCCATGTTGCCTGTCTATGGGTTGATAAAGCTTTGTTTTGTTTCCGGGTTATCACTGATAAGATAACTGGTACTCTCCTCCCCTATTCTGACCTCCAGACTAAATACCAGCTTCCACCGAAAACTCTTATTACCTATCTTGAGATAAAACATTATGCCTACGCTGTATCTAATGCTTTGAACTTTTCTAAATTGACATCATTTAAATTATTATGCTTAGATGGCCCCAGGTGTAAACATCTCCTTTCGGACATCTACTTAGCTTATGAGCTCTCTTCCGTCAGGCCCTTTCCCTAAACATAAATACATGCTTAAATTGGAAACCTTGTTAAGGAGGAACTTGGATATGGGAGACTGTGAAAATATTTAGTCTAATGCAACTACAACATCGATTTGTAGCCTCTATAAGGAAAATCAATACAAGATACTCTTCCATTGGTATCTCACTTCAGAGCTTCTGCATTTAATCAATTCTGCTATTCCCTCCACTTGTTGGAGATGCTTGTCCACTGTTGGTAACCTCTTTCAGGTATACTAGGACTGTGCTTTAATCCGTCCGTTTTGGCAGAAAGCTCTACCCCTCTCTACCCCTATGATCTCTACCCCTATTCTACACCATTGGTCAGAAATATGTTTTGTTTTTGCCCTACTGTCAGAAATTTGTAATCAATGGAAGTGCAGTCAAACACGAGATTTAAGGCAATACCATTAACATTCAGGTTGAAATTGCAGCTGTCAAATTTGTCCTTGCTGGACACTTCACAGCGGTAGCCTCCTGCGTAGGTGGTCTTGGCCTTGATAATGTGTATTTCAAAGCTATAAACCTGGATGGGAACAAAATAAGAACATGAATAAGAGAAACCTATCATAGAAGAGTGTTTTCAGTAACTTGTATATGAGATCTTCTTTGCTGTAAATATTCTTATCCATGTGTGTTAATATTTGCACCTCTTATCTCTGCCATCAGCCATATTTGCTGATTATATACTCAGGTTCTGCTTCCTACTTTGCAGTGCTATACAACAGTTTTGCTTTACTTCGCGTTGTCATGATGCAAGTCTACAGGGTTGATTTAAAAGATAAGTTCATCTTTTTACAGAAAAGGTGAAAAGGTAAACTAACAACACCTTACTGTGCTTGGCTACTGTAATTTTCATCTCCTGCCATCCACACCAGCCAATGTATTGTTCCAGGCATTTTAAAACTACAGAGGCTATATAGTAACATCATGCTTGCAATGGGGAGCTGCCATTGGTCAGCGCACCACATGACTGCACAAAATCATGAGAATCTCTTCTGAGCCTTCTTTTTTCCGGGATGCTGTCTGGGAAGAAAGAAGAGATTATCATTGGTGCTTGTAGTCATGTGGCCGTGCAGACCAGTGACTGCTCGCATTAGCAAGCATCATGATGCTACATGGTGAACTTTTACCATGGCTGGACAGAAACACCAGCTGGCTTGGCGTCGGTTTGGTGTCGGGAGATGGTGATTTTGGTAGCTAAATGCAGCAGTGAGGGGAGTAGAGGGTGTGTGTGTGTGTTGTCAGTTAGTTCAACTTTTAATTTTTTGTGCAAAGGTGAACTTTTCCCTTAATCAAGGAAAGTAAATGTTCACAAAGCATAGAGAATAAGTACTAAACTAAACCATTGAGTTGATTTATTAATGGAGTAGTTAACTTACATTTCTCACCATTTTTTTCATTTCCACTTAGGCATGATTGGATATTCAAAGCAAAATTTGAATAAATAATAATAATCTATATCTTATTCATGCATCTTAGTGAACATTCCTTTGCAAAGTGAATTTTCTCTACTTTTTTAGTATATCAACCACATTTCATCTCAATAACAATATAGAGAAGGACAAGCTTGTAAATATGTAAACATCACCTCAAAAATATATATTTTTTGGTAAACACTATAATATTAATTTGTAGTAAACCCAGTCTGAACCTGAGTTCCTCCGTAGAAGGATCTGCCATGGGCAGTTACACCCAATCAGCTGCAGGCCGGTCATTCCCTGCCCCACACAGCTGCATCTGAACAAAGGGGCGGGATGCTGGGGATGATGTAATTTACCTAATATGGCCACATAGTCCTATTACGTAAATGTAATTTACCAAATATAGGCATTTAGCCATATAAGGTCAATGATGTCACTGCATCCCACCCTTTGCGTACATCAAACTGTGGGTGAGAAAATCCCCTCCCACAGCTGATTGGGTGGCACAGAAGAAGAACCTAAGATCATCCCCAAAAATAAGTGATCACTAATTACGCTATACTTTCACTTTAAACAATCTTTGACGCTGCAGATCATGTTTACATTTGGAATTTCTGCCACAAATGATCTGTTAAAGACTTTTAAGGTTTTTGCAAAGATGCTTCTGCTGGGTCACCTACTTTTGTGTTCCGATCGTACGTCTCGGTGATCTGCAGATGCTTGCCAACTTTGGTAGACAAGTCCATCCATTTGCCTTTGAACCATTTTGCGACTGGTTTCTTCATGAGGTTGGCGCCATTCACTTTAGCAGTAAATGTTATGTTTTCACCTAAATATAAAGGAAACAAATTGTCATTATCACTACTAACTATAAATAATCCGACAGAAACATTACTCAGGTTCCTGAGTCCAGCCATAACAGTTGTTGGTGGATGCTGCTGTCTAATATTTCTCGGAGAATGCAGTGTTGAAAGATTTGCCCCTCTACAAAAGCATTTTCGGTATCCTATAAGCTTATCATGCTAAAGACATTGTGGGGATGCCAAAATAAGAGTCACCTAGTTTAAACCCATCTAGTTGTTGTCTCTATTTTATTAATAAATGAGAAATCCAACAGGAAGGGTGGGATCCGTTCTTAAGGTCCTGACAGCCCTCTGAGACTCCATTCACACATATTCGGTCGTACGAATATGTGCGGAACCGCTCTAAACATAAAAAACCAATGCATTGCAATGTGTATTGTTCAGATGTTTGCGGCGGTCACGCAGTACAAAAGTGCGCTTCCCACAAAATAGTACAAGCGCGATTTTATGGCGGATTTCGCATGTTCCGGCTATAGTAATAGCCGCAAAGGTGCAGGATCCATGTGTATGTTAAAGTTTGCGTGGTTTCGTTCCGCACGGTTTTCCGTGTGAAGAACTGCATGGAAAACGCTACCACTACGTGTGAATGGAGCCTAAAGTCTGAGGCTTTGATATCTGCTGTTAAGTATTGCCTAGGGCTAGGCATTAAACTTTAACTTTTCAACTCATCCTCATAGTTAGAGCCGACGTGTGACAAATAAGCTGTGACAGGTCGCCTCTATGGATCAGGAAGTCAGCAGAAACATGCAGCCGATCCTCTCACTTCCTGATCATCTCCCTGCGGTGAGTGGTGACTGTCAGTCACTGCTCCCCGCAGGGATCCCCCCTCCCCTCTCCGATACTCTAGCGCTGAGTGAAGGAACGGACGGGGAGGGGGCGGGCACAGCTGGCTCTGCCTCTAGATAGGCAGAGCCAGCTGTCACTCACGCAGCTGGGTGGATCTTGACAGTATTGTCGGGATCTGTCCCGGCTTCGGTGCTCTCAGGATATCTCGGGCAATAGCCCGCGATATACTGAGCTTTGGATAATAGGAGGAGGTTAGTATATGTCCTACCGTGACCCTAAAGAGAACTATGGGGAAAACACTGACCCCATAGTTCTCTTTTAAAGTGATATTAAAGTGAAAGGGTTTTTAAGCTATTTCAAATGCTGATGAAATCACTTACAATTGATGCTGCTCCTTGATGTTTTAACATTTTAGTTTCCTGCATAATCAGCTGGTCCCCTGATATCCTGTTTTAGGGTGGCTCCTTTATCTTGCAGGGTCCTATGGAACACCCCTTGTGTGCTAGTTAGCTGTGTGTGTCTCCACAAACACACAGGCACAGCAAGGCAAGTCATTCCCTGCTCCCTACATCTTCTTCCTCCCTCCTCCCTTCTCCAAGCTAGTAGTAGGAGAGCTTCTGGAGACTTTGCTGTCTTTTGAGATCTTGTACTGGACAGGAAGTTCAGGGAAGCTGAGCTAAGAGAGTTGAAGCAGTTTGGAAACATGGTGACTGTAAGTACTTGGGCAAAATTGTAAAGAAACACTTTGCTGGGCCATGTATATTTGTTTATCTGGATCCATTATTGGAAAAAAAAAAAAAGTTTAATACTACTTTAAAGCTTGAATTTGCTTGCATTATGCCTTACCTGATTCACTCCCCACTCCCCACCCTGCAACATGCTAATTAAATTATTAAATAAAACCTTCCTGTTTTCATTACACACCTAATGTTAGGCTCAGTAACAGCATCACTGTGCTTCTCTATGCAATGCAGACAGACCATGCTGGGTGGGAGAGTCCAGCTGTGTGCTTTGCTATACATAGTTTTCTGAAAACAGGAAGCTGTGGTAATGCCCACATGTGATGCAGAACCTACATGATTGAAAGCACTGAAATCCAGTGAGTGCAAGGGGTGGACCAAGGAGGGTCAGGCTGGGCTGGAAAGTGTTAGATGATGCTGGATGTCTTCCAGCCAGGAAATTAGGTGGGCTCTATCTCACTTGCTGCAGCTTTTAATGTACACTGGGAGAAGCTAACTGTGTGCAGTGAAATCAGAGTAAGCACTTTCAGTCCAGGAGAGGAGCCGGTACAACTGTGCAAGACTGGAGGTAAGGTTGGAGTTCCAACTTTCTTTGTACCATTGCAAACCACAGATACTGACCGACAGTCACATCTCCGTCCACCGGTCTCTGTATAAACAGGCCAATTAAATCCTGTGGTGCCTCATTTTCTGGAGCAGGAGCTGTGGAAATAAAAATAAATAAATATATATATATTGCAGTTTATATTTTACAACAACATGTAAGTTCATATTTTCAGAAGACAATAGAAGGTAACAATGACCCGCTCTGACACTAAGGCAGAACTGCCACGTTGTGAACGGGGCCTCAAGCTGAGCTGATCACTGCTTATGGTACTTTATTAGGTATTTTGATGACACCAAGTTAGAAATCCCAGCAAATTTGGGGATTGTAAAAAATGGCAACAAAAGGTCTAGGAGTGGCCTTCTACGGTGAGGTAGGACTTTCCTCCAGAGGCATAAGAGGTCTTCAGAGGTAGAAGTCGAGGTCTGTCTGTATAGTGTGTGGGATCAAGGTGCACCCCTGGCATACCAAAAATGATTAAAGGAGAACTATGAGCTGAGTGCTTTTCACTCACCTCATAGTTCTAGCCGACCTGTGACAATGAGACTGTCACAGGTCACTAGATAGGCAGAGCCAGCTGTCAGTCATGCAGCTGAGCGGATCCAGACATAATTGTCGGGATCAGCTTAAGCTGCGGCGTCTTAGTATACCGCGAGCTGTAGCTCACGGTATACTGTGGCGTCTCAGTTTACTGCGAGCTACAGTTCGCGGTATACTGAGCCTAGGGTGACGGGAGGACGCTAGTTTGTGTCCTCCCGTTACCCTAAGGAGAACTATGGTGAAAAGCCTTAACCCCATAGTTCTCCTTTAACAAAGACCCCTATACTTTGGAGGCAATGTTAGTCTGAACACTTTTATGGCTGCGCAAATTCCATTTAATGACAAAACCACGGGGTATATTTAACCACTTCAGCTCTTGTAACTTTATACTCCTTATAGACTAGAGTAACGGTTACATTTCTGCTATGGGCCTATTTATTCGGGAATTACTTAATGTGACACTAAACTCAGGAGTTAAATCCTAAAAATACATTCAAGTACCTTAACTATTATTAAAAACTTATCTTATTTGTGTATCACTGGGCTGTAGATCCTCAAATCATTTCTGAATTGGTGCTGACACTGTCCTTCCTTTTGGAGGGGGGCTACTTTTATTCCCCATGGTCTCTGTGGATGTTGTAAAGTAGTCACCACTTCAAGCTCACTCCCGGGATGGACTACAATCTCAATAGAAATTAGTAAACTAAACATGAGATTGTAGTCCATCACAGGAGTGAGCTTGGAGCGGTGACTGCTTTACAACACACATAGGGACCATGTCATTTATTTATCTCCTGTAGAGAGTAAGTGAGAGGTAACTTTCCTAAAATTAAGGACCTTGGACAGAATTTACCGGAACAAATGGCCCTGTAGGGGGATCTACCCTCTGGTTCTGTTCTGGTTACACATGTAAAATTTGGGATTTTTTCTCTATCCAAAACAAAGTAAAAGGTTTTGGCTAGAGTCATGCTAATAGGCGTTTTGATCCACATAAATCAGGTTTTTGTTTTTTTTCCATTTGGATGATAACAATAAAACAGTATCATGAAAGGTTGCAATGGGGGTACCAAACTGGGAGAATGATTTAAATATGTGGGTAGGGTATCTTTCACTGCTGGCCTAGTGATTTGAGTATCATTACCATCAGCAGGGGGCGCCTCAGTCTTTTCTTCTGCGGCAAGGGCGGGCGCCTCAGGCGCGGGTGCTGCTGCCTCAGTGGCAGGTGCTGGGGCCTCCGGGGCAGGTGCCGGGGCATTTTCTTTTTTTTCTGTAGATAAACAGAATCATTTTAGTAGCGTTAATATCAATATTTAAAGGAAAGTTGAACATGTAACCCAGTCATTCATGCAAACAATTCAGAGAAAGAGCACAAGAAGTCAACAACAACTCTAGCGTCTGTTGAGTGTCCTCCATCTTGCAGGTTCCAAGATGTGTTGTTATTAGAGGTGCGCCGAAATGGAATTTTGAGACCAAAAGCCAAAGCCGAAACTGAAACCGTAACTGAAAATTATTGTTTTTTGTAACTTTAAAAAAAAAATGTTTAATATTTTATATTAATTAATTAACTTTTTTTTTACTTTACTTTTGGGGGCTCTGGGGTAATATCAGGGGTCTAAACAGACCCCTGATATTTCCCTTTTGCAATAGAAAAAGAGATTGTCCTTAAAGGAGAACTATGGGGTAAAGGCTTTTCCCCATAGTTCTCCTTAGGGTAACAGGAGGACACAAACTAGTGTCCTCCCGTCACCCTAGGCTCAGTATACCGCGAGCTGTAGCAATTATGCTGGGGTCCGGCACAGCTGGCTCTGCCTATCTAGAGGCAGAGCCAGCTGTACCCGCCACCTCCCCCGTCTGTTCCGCCAGTCAGCGCTGGCGGAGCGGGGAGGGGGGAATCCAATCCCTTCCCTGTCACGGCAGAGAGCCGTGACAGGATCGAGAGGTGAGCGAACGCCGTTATGTGTTCGCTCAACCCCCGATCTACTGAGCCGACCTGTGACAGTCTCATTGTCACAGGTCGGCTAGAACTATGAGGTGAGTGAAAAGCACTCACCTCATAGTTCTCCTTTAATCTCTTTTTCTGCAGTCCCTGTTATGAATGAAACTGTGGAGATAGTGTGAGTTACTATGTACACAATCATGAATGAACAGGAAGTGATCTAGAGCACTTCCTGTTCATTCATAATTGGGGACACAGTAAACATACTATGTCCTCAATTATTTGCAAGCACTCAGCAATCAGCTGATCGTTGAGTGCTTGTAAGGAGGAGAGAGCAGAGAGATGAGCTTATCAGTCGTCTGCTTCACTTTTAATGACAGTCACAAAGGTTGTATAATCAGATTGGTATATATATGGCTTGCTTAAATGTCGATTAATCTAAATTAGACTGCACAATCAGATGTGTATGGGTCACACACCCATACACATTTGATTGTGCAGCCTAATTTAGATTAATCGACCAATTGGGTAGTGCAAGGCCCAGCCTTATTGGATATAAGTTGAACACAATGGATAGGCAGGCTCTCAAGACAGACAGGTGTTGGTAAATATAGAGGAGAGTTTATTATGATTGTATGATAATATTTTTGAGGTGGGTTTCCAGCTTTATGTTGCATGTTGCATAGTAAAAGGGAAAGAGCAACCAGAAAAGGAAACCATAGCTCGCCATGTCAGATGAATTCTAATGGTTGCCATCAGGACCGCCATTAGAAATCATGGGGCCCGGTAAAGCCTACTTGACAGGGTGCTCCAACCCCAACCCTGCTATGGAAAAAGTACCAATGTCTAGCTATGCTGCAGTACCCTTCCCTCGACCACCACATCGCCCCCCCACCCCCTCCCCCCCCACACACACACACGCACGGCAATATCCCACCATCACCGCGTGTCTACATACCCATACATAGCCCTGCCAGTTAACTGCCACTTCACTGCCTACCTTCCGCTAAAATGACGTGGCGTTGGGGCCGCCCACAAGTAGCTCCTGCCAGGCCTGGGCCCCCTGCTGACCTAACGAGGCCCGGGCACGGTAGGGGAGTACTGTCTGTTTTCCCACATCAGGAGCCCTGCTTGCCATACATGTAACAATACAATTGTTCAGTATAATGATTGCTTCAATGAAGGGATCATATCTCCCAGCAATCACTTGCATCTTGTTTCGTCTATGTTCAGTTGTTTTATCAAGAAGTGACGGTTCACCTTGGCAAAAATTCAATTAAAATTTAACCACACTGAATTTTTTTTTAGTCGTTTCGTTTGTACAACGATTGTATCCAGTGAAAATGATTTCAAAATAATTGGATATAGAATTGATCATTAATATATAATTATGTGTATGGCCGGCACAACTTCTGCTGCATTTGAAAGTTTGAGAAGGACCATCTCATCTCCACCATAATTAAAGTGTCTGGGATAAAAACTACCTACAATACCCTTGTGGGCCAAAGACTCTGGGAACTGGAAAACTATAAATCCTTCACCAAGGCTTTATTGCTGTTCTTGACCCCGGCACATTTTTCCCCCCACAATTTCTCTTTCCATATAGTCCTAAGGAGAACTCTCTAGACCACATCCACTGGACTCTCCTTAGGACTGTATGGAGAGTGTACTCTATAGAGAGGAACCTGGAGGCTCTAAAATCCCTGGGTGACAATGATGGACCAAAGATGGTAGTGGGGAGCTTTCTACCATGGTTAAGGGCAGCAATAATGCACCAGAACAGTCTCTGCATTACTCTACTCCACAGTTCAACAGTCATTTGGCCTGCTAAGTGATTTGCTTTTCTAAAGCTGGCCACAGACCTTACAACCATCGCAAGACTTTGATTTGAGACTAAGGTCTTGCGATGGTTGTATAGTGTATGGCAACCTAAACTTTCAGTTTAAATCAGCTAAATACACTTCAGGTGCATCAAAACAAAAAGGTGTTCAACGTCTTACAGTTTGTTTTCTTACTAAAGCAGCCACAACCTGAGTAAAAAAGCCTGTCTCCTGCCAACAGATGCAGAGAAGGACCCTTATTCTCCATGTGGAAGCAGTGCTCTCTCTGCAGAGGTCTGACACTCGCCAAACATATAGCTCTGCAATCAGCAAAGCTCATGCTCCCAGGTGATTGGAGAGATCCGGCTCTAGTAGGCGGGATGCCAGACCTCTGCAAAGAGATTACTGCTTCCCCACAGAGAGAAAGTTTCTAACCTGCTGGCTGGACACAGGCTTTTCTAGGCTGGGGCTGTGGCTGATTCCAAAATATAACAAACAAGAAGACTTGGTACAACTTTATTTTTTATGCACCTGGAATGTATTTAGCTCATTTAAACTGAAAGTTCAGTTGGGATTTAGGGAATGCAGTGGTGTACTCTCCTCCAAAAGGCCGGCTGACTGGACAGAAAAAGACCAGAGGAAGACTGATAAAATAATCCTTCTGGTTACTCTGTTTACTCCTCCTATCAGCATGTACCTTGCAAGCACATTTGCATGCAGCAGATCTGATTGTCTCCCAGTCAGAGTGCTGAATTGTATAGGGGATTGCAACGTGCTCTTAACAAGTCAAATTCAGATACTTACACTGGCTGCATTATAAAATAAATTTGATGAATTATTAATGAATACAGAGCTACATTCATTTATGTCTTTACATCAGCCTGAAATTCAGCTTTAAGCAATTGTTTACCTGCAGCCCACAATTATTTTAGAAGAGTCAAAGTAAAAGTACAAATAGTTCTTTTTCCTAACAGGAACTGAATGCGTCAACCTGTAAACTTGCTTGCCCCATCAGAAATCTCCCAGTTCCTCTTTTGTAGAATATTCCTTTTACTTTCTGTGCTATTATTACATATTTCACTTTACCAATACCTCCGCTGCAGAATATTCCTTGTTTGCAACAGACAAAGTATATATTACAGTATATACTCATCTCATACTAGGACCCGACAAAATACAGCCAGTGAGCCAATGTTCCAAACATGTTTAGAGCAGTTAAAAGCAGGACTCCGGGCAAAACCTTATATTGACCCTTGCAGTGGGGCTACCCCAGCACTGCAAGGGTTAAGTGCTCATTTTGTTCTAGGTGCAAAAATAACAAAAGTTATACTCACCTGCACCTCCCAGCTGGCTGGCTGTTAGACCGGTCCCTTCTGCCTCTCTCTCCCTCCGTTTTAGCGATCAAATGTCCTGTGAGTCATCACATGCTATACACAGTGTAAAGGATTTGAGGGCATCGAGGGCCATACCATCTCTGCAGTGGAGAAGGAGACAGGCTGTAGGGAGTGCTACAGGAGCAAGCCAGCTCCAGGATTCAGGTGAGTATAACTTTATTTTCGCACCTCGATGAAAATGAACACTTAACCCTTACAGTGCAAGGGTTAAGAACACTTTTGGCTGGAGTTCTTCTTTAAAGCAACAGGGGAAACAGATCATGTTATCCAGCAAATATTGCAAGGTGCTAAAGTCTGAATGTCCACAGGTATATTATTTTGAGTTTTATCCAATTCAATGCACAGAGTTCAGCAAACCTGTTACATGTACTTCTAAGTGGGTCGGCAACCTCTTGCTGTGCAACTGTATAAGCCTTAAAGTCCAGCCATGTCTCTAATAGCTGCGTAACAGGAATCAAAACTCTTGTCTTCCAAATATGTGATGCAATTGATGATGCTGGAAATATTACTTGGCCTGTTTGGTCCCTTTTGACCCACCTAACCTTAAGATGATTGGTTAGTTTGTCTCCTTTCTCCATACGTCCCATGTCATGGAGGTGCTGTAAACCAATGTGTTCTGCCTGCTCATGACTTTGCTCAGGATATCCTAGCCAGGGCCAGCCATTAGAAATCATGGGGCCTGAACAACCCACAAGTAGCCCCTGCCAGGCCCTGGCCCCTTTCTGACCTAATGGGTCCAGGGCCAGTTACTATCTGCACCCCCCAATCAGTGGCCCTGCCTGACCCTCTTCTCCTATGCTAGCAGATTATACACAGGTAATGCCCTCTGTTACACTAATAGCAGCCTGTGTCCCACACCCAGCACGCCATTCTCACATTATCAGCTCCAGGTCAGGTGAAGCCAGCCTACTGCTCCTGCTGTATGTCAAAACACCAGGAATGTAAAGTCATCACACCACTAAAAGAATGCCTTGTACAATGTGCCTATTACAGTGTTTTGCCACTTACACTCACTCCTGCAGGGCTCAATATATCTGCTTTGGGGGGTTATCTCCTGGGACACAGCGCTATGTCAACGGGTTGAATAAAATGTTGCCCTTGTACAGCCAGACCTCCCTGCTGGCCCAATGGAGGCCGGGCCCAGTACGGGAGGGACTGCCTGTACCCCCCTATCGATGGTCCTGTCCATAGCATTTCTCCTGCATGCTGCTTTAGGGTTCACTGGACCATACAAGCAGCATTCTCAAAGTATACATTTGCATTAAGCTGCTTTGCTGAATGTAGTGAAAAGCTTCCTGACCTAGAGTCCTTTCAATGCACTCTACAAAACAGCCAAGTACAAGTGGACACTGCAAGAGCATTGCTGGTACAGCTCTGTGATCCCTAAGAAAGTGGGAGTAATTCCTCACCAGAATGCACGGTTGGTGTGATTGCAGTGTGAACTCTCACCTAGAAAAGTGGAAGGCATGCGGTGACCCACTGAATACTAGGTCGCGAACCACTTTTGGGTCACGACCCACCAGTTGAGACCCAAGTCCAAAATGAACACAACTGAGTCAACTATGAACCTATGACAAGTATTGACGCAATGTGTTGTGAGACTTGAAGTGACCCTGTGACTTGCTGACTTTAAGAGTGATAAATGGGTAGCAGGGATGATGCGGTCCTAGTACAGCATCCAGAGGGTCCAAAAACCCGAGGAACTCTTGTTATGCAAATCTGCCATGCTGCTGGGTTATCCAAAACCTATAAAAAGCCATAAGTTAACTTGGCCCTTCAGGCTCCACCTACAAAAAAACAATTTTGTGTAGACTGACCCTTTATGGTATAGTGGTCCTTGGACGTGAACTGTGTGTGCCTTATACCAACCTAAAAATGAAACCTGCAGCAGGCAACGCCAGTTGGAGAGTAAACATTTAAACCCTTTTGTATTATATGGCGTAATACATAGTGGTGTCTTTCTAAAAGGTTTGCCGAGCAAACAGCTCGTAGATTTGCAGTGCATTATGGCCACTAGTTGGATCTTAGGAGCTCCTCGGCTCCATCTAGTGGCCATATTGCGCTGCGCATCTACAATGCAGACGTTCACATAGGTGCTCGCTCTGCGAACATTTGATAAATACACCCCATAAAGTTCTTACTGCAGACCCTTTAATACACGAAGCCTATTCAGTATAGCGTGGTCATTAAATTGACGGCTGGGATTTTGCGGCTTTGAACAACGGTTCCCTAGTCTGCCTCTGATTTTAAAAATAAGCCCCGCGATGTGTTACACAGTGAAAGCACAATTACCGCAATAGAGAAGCTCTATGAAAGCTACTTTCTGTAGAAAAGGATGTTTATTTATAATAAACATCACAGTGGTCTTCTTTAAAAATTCCCTATTCAAAAATATTTGAACTTCCCCTAAGAGTTGTATTTTCACTTATGTTCTGTAATACGGTCTGTCCAAAAATACAGTTTACGCATTTCCAGCTCATCAATAGAACACAGAGATGAGTCCAGAATCTAAAGGACAATTATCTTATTTGAAGCCCAACTTTCCTTTCAGTTTAAATCAGTGAAATCCATTCTGGGTGCATCAAAACACAGAAATGGGAATTTATCAGAACTGGAGCAGACAGAATTTGGAGCAGTTCAGTTATGCTTTGAAAATAATGATTGGTTGTCATGTACATCTGCTCCAGATTGTGTCTGCACAGGTTTCAGACCCCATTCACACTGATGCTAGGTTCACATCTAGGCGACTAGGAACATTCCTTACACACTGATCTTGTGGTCTCTTATTGACAAGCGTGACTGAAATTGTATAATTGTGAATATTTATAACCGTTTTTACATAGTATTTGAGGTTGAATAAAGACATAAGTCCATCAAGTCCAACCTATTGCGTGTATGCATTTATGTTTGATCAGGTGTGTGCGTGTGTATTAGTCCATGTGTGATTTTGCTCTTAGGAGTACCTATACCCCTGTATGTTATGTATGTTTTTATTATTCAAATAAAAAAAGATTTCACACAAGGAGGTGGCGCTTTGTTGCTTTTGTCTTTTTTGTATCTGATGAGAAACCCAGAGTCTATTTGACGAGTAACCTCTCCAAAAGCTTTGGATATTTTACAAGAAAGACTACTCCTGCAGGATTGTGTGATGGTAATTACTAGTGCCAAGAGTTAAATCAACTTTTTCAGGTGGGAACCTAGCCTGAGTGTTTTGTAGCGTGATTTCCGTTCAAAAATCGCAAAAATATCGCTCAAAAATCGCTCTATGTTGCTCGTTCAATGCATTTCAATGGAGCTGTTCACATCTCACAGCTCAATGTCGCTTGTAGCTTGTTGCTCGTGCATGACCTATTTTTCCAGTGGATTTTGTGCGATTTGGCACCAATAGGCTTTGATAGATTGCCAAAAGAAGCGCTACATAGTGCGACAAAATGTGCACTGCAGCTCAATGTCGCTCAGCTCAAATCAGCGCTGAAAAGGCATTTTTTTTAAATGTAGCTCAGTGTGAATGGGTGTCTAATAAATTCTCCCATTAGTGTTCAGGCTTTCCCCTAACTGCCACACATGGGGTTTTGAGCTAGGAATGGAATACTGGATCCAGGATGAATGAAAACAAAACGTGTGCAAATTCATAAAGTTTGTTTTCCTTGCAAATTAGCCACATTCTAAGTAGCAAAGTGCGTCCCCTGCCAGCACGCTGTAGAGAAGGACCCTTGCTCTCTGTGTGGAAGCAGTGGTCTGTCTGTGAAGGCTCAGCATGCCCTATGCTGAGTCAGACCTATAGCTCTGCAGTCGACAAGGCACATGCTCTCTTCTGATTGGAGAGCTCCAGTCCTGACTCAGCATGGAGTGTGTGTCACACCTTTGTTGAAAGACCACACAGAGAGCAAGGGTCCTTCTCTGCAGCATGCTGGCAGGGGACAGGCTTTTCTATTTGTGCTGTGTTTGCTTTCTGAAGAAAAAAACTGTAAGGCCTCGTTCGCACCAGACAGTGCGTTCCCGGCCCGATTCTGGCCAGAACGCACTGCATCGCATTGCGGCCAGCTCACTATGTTGTGGGGCAGGAGGGGGCGTGGCGGTCCATTGAAGCAAATGGCACCATAGCCACACCCTCCGGCTGCAATGCGATCGGCCGCATGGGAACGAAAGGCACATTATGCCTACGGCGTTCCTGTGCGCATTGCGGCTGCAGGGTGTTGCTACAGTGCCATTCACTTCAATGGACCGCCAAGCCCCCTCCTGCCCCACAACATAGTGAGCCGGCCGCAAAGCGATGCAGTGCCTTCTGGCCAGAATCGGGCTCGAACGCACTGTGTCTGGTGTGAACAAGGCCTGAGACTTGTTGCTTTTATGCACCTGGAATGTATTTAGTGTGGGGTCCTTGTGGCTCTAACATTCACTGAGATGCAGAAAAACACAAAAATGTAGCATTCTTGTCTGGGGTCCCCTTGTTTTTAGTACTGTATCACTGGCAGCTTAAGGCCCCATTCACATTGAGCGATTCGCAAATTTTGAGCTATATCGCACGTTTGTCGCGCGATATCACGCAAATGCAAAAATCCGCTCCAAAAAGGGTCCTGCTGTAGCGACGCACGACCCGCGACAGCGACGGACAGAGCCCCATTGCCATGCATTGGAGAGCGATATCGCGCGGTAAATAGCCGCGATATCGCAGGAATTACCGCGCGATAAATCGCTCAGTGTGAATGGGGCCTTAAAGTAGGCCGTACACTTTAGGGCCTGTTCACACCATATGCAGTTGTGATGCAGTCCGTTTATTTTAACTGCTGCAGTCAAAATACATCCCAATGCTTTCCTATGGGCTTTCTTGTGCTTAATTTACACCATTGCAGTCCGTTCAGATGCAGTCAGAAAAAGTACTGCTTGTCCTATTTTCCCTGCATCTAACTGCACTAAACGCATCAAAACGCAGTGCAAACGCATCAAAACGCACTAAAACGCAATGGAACACATACAAAAACAACAACAACGAAATTGATTGTGGCATCATCCAGGGACATGCAGGGGAAAAAGAGCATCAAAAACGCATCACAAACGCATCAAAACGGATCGCAATGCAACTGCGCAGATGCACGCAGTTGTGATACAGTTTCTGGTGGGAACTAACCCTTAAGGTTTTGCTTAAAATCACTTGTTTCCCCAATCCAGGGCTGTCCCTACACTATTTGCCATCTGAGGTGAAAAGGGGGACGGGGTTGTTTTGGAGGAGCAGCGCTGGCGGTAAATGGTCATTCCCAGCGGTGTGGGGTGTGGTAGGGTGGTGTATGCTTGGTGCTGGTGGTAAATGGGGGTATGGGATTGATGGCAGTGTATGCTCATTCACGGGGGGGTTGGAGGTGTTCTGTCGGTGGATGCTCAGCTCTTGCCAACCAATGACATCAGTGAGCTGGGCAGGAAGCCAGACAGAGCTCCTAGCAACCTGGGATGCTGTGACATATGTGAATCGGAGCATCAGTTACAAAATACTATATAGTAGAGATGCTGGAGCTTCTGAAACTTATATAACGCCCTTCCTTCCACTCCCGACAGAGCAGCCATGACTCATATGCTGAGTACTGACAACTAATTGTTGTGGTTGTCAGGTTTGCCAGGGGATCTCAATGACTTTGACCAAATATGGTCATGTGGCCATATAAGGTCAATGATGTCACCAGCATCCCACCCCTATGTTTACATGCAGTTGGGAATGCCCCAGCAGCAGCTGATTGGGCCAGCACTGACACTTTCATTCGCCGTTCGCAATAATTCACGCTCGGACCGCACCTGAGCTCATCCCCAATCAAGAACTTGTCAGATCTCAGCAGGTACAAAACATTTTTTATTACAGTATAATTACAAATATTTTTAGCATGGTCACACAAATGTATTCTTTACATTACACAATTGATATCAGCTATATTAGATAGTATTACTCTGGATTAATGTATGATTTTGTCAATGTCATTCATCTTACCTGGTTCTTTAACTTTGAGCTCAAACTTCACCTTGGAGGTGCCGGCGATGACGGAGTAAACTACTTCATCTTCGGCGCTTGCATTGTTGATGGTCAGTGAATGGTTTTTGCCATCGGCCTTAATGGCGTACTTGTCACTAGCAGCGATGTCTGCGTTATTCTTCTGCCATTTCACCTTAACACCTGGTTTCTCAGTCTCGGCTTCAAAGGAGACGGAGCTACCGGCTACCACTTCGGCTGACTTTGGCTTCTTGGTGAAAGCTGTATGGGACAAAGTGGAAGAGTCAATGTGTGTTCACATGCAGACCCGTTCCATTGACTGCAGCCTTCTGTGATGGAAATCACATGACGTTACAGCAAACAGTTAATTGGCTAAAAGTACCCCACGGGCATAAGAGAATGCTCGCTTGACTATGGGGTCAAGTGCTAGTGCTTGGCAGATGTCACCAGGACTGTCCCAGTACCACCTGCCAGTCAGCAATGGAAGTGTAGCATCACCCTTTTCTTGGTCAGTGATACCCAATGCAGGATAACACTACTGCTGGCTCCAAAGGGTGGTCTACAGTAATAGAACTAACGAGTCTCCCTGTGTTTCCTCTGTAAGAAACCTCTATTATGGATCCACAGCACACCAGCACACAGTTTACTTTGCAGGATAAGATAAATAACCGTATTGCCATGGACCAAAGTGTGCTTTCTATCATCAAACACTTTAAACCAAATAGAAGATTCCATTATAAGGATGACTATATATCAGCAACGGCTGTACTGACAACAGTCCCCCTACACAGGATAAAGGTAAGAATAAAACCCTTTCTTAGTCCTAATGTACCCGGGTACCTAACCAACCGGCCAGTAATATAATCTTCGGCTAGCCAATGTTGGGGCCCGATGTATTGGATAACAGACTAGTGTTTGGTGTTCCCAGTAAGCATAGGTCAGAGGCCTTTCACCCATCCTGGAGGGAGATGCTCATCAGGAATGTCCTGCACTGTCAGCACATATCCCCCAGAAGAGATAGTTCACCTAGGAGATGATTCAGCAGGCTCTGAAGTCTGTAATGGATTTGATCAGCCGGCCAGCCAATTCATCGTCTATGACCACCCCACCGCAGTATGGAGCATAACCGGGTCGGCTCACTCGATCCCCCAGAGGGCTTCCAGCAGACATGTAGAAAGGGACACACCGGCGGCATGGTCACAGTCCCAGCAACGCACTGCACACAACAGCTCTGTTCACACTGTCTGTCCCCCCACTCTCCTCTCACAGCACTCTGGGAAGTGTAGCCCATAACATCTAGTCCAGCAGGCATCTTCCTGAGCAAAGAACTCATTCCCCATAAGTCTCTGTTGCAAAAGCCCCAGTTAGCTGCAACATAAGATCAGTCTTAAAGGGACCCGCTCCATAACAGTGCTACAGAAGCAACGCAGATTTCCGACCCATTGGCACATTCTTATTTCTGACGCCGCAGCTGAAACGGATCCCAACAATTATGTCTGGATCCGCCCAATTGCGTGAGTGACAGCTGGCTCTGCCTATCTAGAGGCAGAGCCAGCTGTACCCGCCCCCTCCCCCGTCCGTTCCGCCAGTCAGCGCTGGAGGATCGGGGAGGGGGGAATCCAGCCCCTCCCCTGTCACGGCAGAGAGCCGTGACAGGATCGAGAAGTGAGCGAACACCGGTATGTGTTTGCTCACCTCCCGATCTACTGAGCCGACCTGTGACGGTCTCATTGTCACAGGTCGGCTAGAACTATGAGGTGAGTGAAAAGCACTCACCTCATAGTTCTCCTTTAAGGGCCCATTCATACTTTGCAGCTCTGGTGTGTTGTGTTTATGATGCATTGAGATGCAATCATTTTGCAAGTCAACATGTGTTGCCTTAAGTAAGTCCATTTAAGGCCTCATGCGCATGGATATTTTATGTTTGTCTGGGGATTCCTGCGGCAATAACCTTTAGACGCTTGCGAATCCCAGGTGGGTCCATACAAAAAAATTTCAGACTGGAACCGAAACCAAAATTTTTTTTATTTGAACTTTTTCAAATATTTTATTTACTTTGTATAAACTTTTAAATTTTTTAAATATTTATTTATTTTTATTTATTTATTTATCTTTATTAAATATTTCTATTTTTCACTTTACTTTTAGGGGCTTCGGGGAAATATTGGGGGTCTAAACACCCCTTATACTTCTCTTTTAAAATAGAAAAGGAGATTGGGGACACAGAGTCCTCAATCTCTTTTTCTGCAGTCCCTGTTATAAATGAACAGGAATGCTCTATGCTGATTGTTCCTGTTCATTCATAACTTGTGGACAGAGTGTGTTTACTATAACCACAATCATGAATAATTGATATAGTAACCATACTCTGTCCTCAATTATGTACAAACACTCAGTGGCCACTGAGTGTTTGTACATAATGCCCTCCTTCTCCTCCTTCCCGGCACAGGCACAGCCAAGGTCAGCCCCACACTGAACAAACAGCTCCGGGGACGGCAGGAGACCAGCGCCCGATCGTTCAGCTCGGTGCCCGTCCGCAAAGCCCCACATGCAGCCTGGGGACATCTGTACACTGCCCCGGTGAGATGCAAACACAGGCCTGGGGAGATCTCTGCGCAGCCTGGTGAGACGCAAATGCAGCCATGGTGAGATCTCTGCGCAGCCTGGTGAGACGCAAATGCAGCCTTGGTGAAATCTCTGCGCAGCCTGGTCAGGCGCAGCCCTGGTGAGATCTGTACACTGCTATGGTGAGGCGCAAACGCAGTCCTGGTGACATCAGTACGCAGCCTGGTGAGATGTAATTGCAGCCCTGGTGACATCTGTGCGCAGCCCTGGTGAGACACAAAGCAGCCCTGGTGACATCTGTACGCAGCCTAGTGAGACGCAAACGCAGCCCTGGTCAGAGGCAAAGGCAGCCCTAGTGAGACGCAAATGCACCCCTGGTGAGATCTGTGCACAGCCCTGGTGAGAAGCAAACAGAGCCCTGGTGACATCTGTACGCAGCCTGGTAAGATGCAAACGCAGCCCTGGTGAGACGCAAATGCACCCCTGGTTAGATCTGTGCGCAGCCCTGGTGAGATCTGTGCCCAGCCCTGGTGAGATCTGTGACCAGCACTGGTGAGATCTGTGCCCAGCCCTGGTGAGATCTGTACGCAGCCCTGGTGAGACGCAAACACAGCCCTGGTGAGATGCAAACGCAGCCCTGGTGAGACGCAAATGCACCCCTGGTGAGATCTGTACGCAGCCCTGATGAGACACAAACACAGCCCTGGTGACATCTGTACGCAGCCTGGTGAGATGCAAACGCAGCCCTGGTGAGACGCAAATGCACCCCTGGTGAGATCTGTACGCAGCCCTGGTGAGAGACGCAAACACAGCCCTGGTGAAATCTGTACGCAACCTGGTGAGATGCAAACGCAGCCCTGGTGAGAAGCAAATGAACCCCCGGTGAGATCTGGGCGCAGCCCTGGTGAGACGCAAACACAGCCCTTTTGACACCTGTACGCAGCCTGGTGAGATGCAAATGCAGCCCTGGTGAGATCTGTGCGCAGCCCTGGTGAGATCTGTGCCCAGCCCTGGTGAGATCTGTGCGCAGCATGGTGAGACGCAAACGCAGCCCTGGTGACATCTGTGCGCAGCCTGGTGAGACACAAATGCAGCCCTGGTGAGACACAAGCCCTGGTGAGATCTGTGCGCAGCCCTGGTGAGATCTGTGCCCAGCCCTGGTGAGATCTGTGCGCAGCATGGTGAGACGCAAACGCAGCCCTGGTGACATCTGTGCGCAGCCTGGTGAGACACAAATGCAGCCCTGGTGAGACACAAACGCAGCCCTGGTGACATCTGTGCGCAGCCTGGTGAGACACAAACGCAGCCCTGGTGAGACACAAACGCAGCCCTGGTGACATCTGTGCGCAGCCTGGTGAGAAACTGTCCAAAAATCATTAGTCTGTATTGTTTTAGAAAAAATGTCACATGTTCCTTTAAGAAAAAGTATCGGTAATTGGTATCGGCAAGTAGCTGAGGGAAAGTACTTGTACTTGGCCTTAAAAAAATGGTATCGGGACATCCCTATTTAAAAGCTGTTACTGCTCATCATTTTAGCATTATTTCTCTCACTCTGAGGTTCGCGGTGATACATACCACGTTTTCAAACGTAGGCGCACCCGATGCGTGTTTCCATTTGCATGTGCATGTACGTGGAGGTGGGGGACTTTACAGAAAACATTTTTGTGTTTTTCATTTCTTTTTTATTTGTGATTTTAATTTTTTACGTTTTTTTTAACATTTAACTTCATTGCTATTAGATAGATGGCTAACAAGCCCCCTATGTGATAGCAAAGAGGGTATTATTAGTTCACCCCCAGATATGTACCCCAAAATATAGTAGTCAAAGTCTCTTGATTAAAGAAATATTACATATGTGTGATTTTTTGACATGTAAGTTTTGTTTCGTTCTGATTTAAAATTCAGATTAATTTCTTTAAATCTGGACATTCGCATGCATCGAATTTGAACAAATCTGAATTTTTTTCTGAATTTTGTCTGAATTTCCAATTCTAATAACCTATACAGACAAAGATGGTCAGTACGGACTAAGAGGAGTAGTACGGAATAAGATGACCAGTACGGACTAAAATGACCAGTACGGACTAAAATGACCAGTATGGACTAAAATGACCAGTATGGACTAAAATGACCAGTATGGACTAAAATGACCAGTATGGAATAAGATGACCAGTATGGACTAAGAGGACCAATATGGACTAAGATGACCAGTACAGACTAAAAAGACCAGTACAGACTAAAAAGACCAGTATAGACAAAGATGACCAGTACAGACAAAGATGACCAGTACAGACAAAGATGACCAGTACAGACAAAGATGACCAGTACAGACAAAGATGACCAGTACGGACTAAGATGACCAGTACGGAGTAAGAGGATTAGTACAGACTAAGGCCCCATTCACACAGATTTTGTGCGCAATATCGCGCGACTGTTTGCATTGAGCAAGCTTAAATCGCGGCTAAATCCGCTCCAAAAAGGGTCCTGCTGTAGCGACACACGACCCGCGACAGCAGGACCCTTTGCCCCATTGAGAAGCATTGGAGAGCGATATCGCGCGGTAAATTGCCGCGATATCGCGGGAATTACCGCACGATAAATCACTCAATGTGAACGGGGCCTAAGATGACCAGTACGGACTAAGATGACTAGTGCGGAGTAAGAGGATTAGTACAGACTAAGATGACCAGTACGGA